TTGCAAGTCTCACTGTCAAGAGTCCGGTCTGTCCATTTATATTTAGCAGATGATGCTGTTCTCATAATAAGTGAATGTCTAATTAAGGTTTTGTTGAATTATTGGACAAAAATGGAGATTCCATCCACAGTGATGCTGTAGTAATATCGTCTTACGTATTTGAGTCACAGTGTGACAAGGATATGATGCCAGTTGGCAGCACATTTACGTTGTTAGACAGACATACTAACCTCTCTTTTAAATCATCACATGAATACAAAAGCCCATCACTGTCAAATACTTGTTTCACAAGCAGTTGTTGTTAGACCAATGTTAAAAAAAAGGACTTATTTCTGTATGTAATGTTGGTATTGTTCCAAAAAACATTTGTGAGGAGAATTATTGTGCTTATAAAGAAGGCACCAACATAACAGAGCTTGCTTATGTAAGTAATCTGAATACTTCCTCCATCAGTGTGAGAGACAGGTGTTATTGTGGCGGCCATCTTGAATCTCTTGATCACTTTTAATTGTGTTTCTAAGCGAAACAGCGCCCCCCTGGAGTTCAACGGCTGGGCAACGGCAATCCGTGCGGTCAGAGGTGGTACTGCATCTGTACAGGAGCGCCGAGCAAGAAGACTGAAGCATCAATACAGGATGAAACTGTGAATAAACCGGATTTTAAATAAGAAACAGTTCAGTCTCAGGTCAGTGGCACTCCGGTCTGTTATCACACTCATTATAGTAAGTTATTTTAAATGAAACCAGCTCACAGTTAGTTAGTTTTGGGGCTTTTTTGAGCTAGCTAGCTTCAGTGTGTCAGAGCGGTTAGCTAGCAGCCATGGCGGGAGCAGTTCGGTTATACAAACAAGATGGCGTCAGCAGGACTTTAACGTTACCTGATACATGGAGCAGCTCACCTTCCTGGAGGAGAGGGACTTCAAATAATGTGAGTTAACGTTAAATGTGTCAGTGTGTCTGTCTGTATGTCTTCATCTGCTGGTTGTATGATCACAGTAAAGGTCATATTCTGTTCTGTAATGTTACTGTCATAGATATATATATATATGTGCAGATGCCGCATTCAACGGTGCTCCTCATTGGAGCGATACGTCAACGCGGCGCCATCTTGCCCAGGTGGAGCCGCGCTGCCTAATGCATGTATGTCTGTTGAGGCAGGCGATTTTTTATGATTAAAATCATCATTACTCGCTGAATTCTCAACCGATTTTCATGTGGTTTGGTTTGTTACAATTGTCAGACATGTAGTTATGATACAGGATACTTGGTTAAATAAAAAATGCAGCTTTTCATACCAAAATATTTGATCTTATGTAGATAAAGTAACAGTAATAGTTCTACAACACATTTAAACTAAACTTTCCCCGTGTAATAAATATTCTTTTTCTTACTAGATGTACAATGCCCACCATGATGTCATTTAATTATTAATTTTGACTATAAATGTTTATTCACATTTCACACAATGTGCAAAAAATAGTGTATCAGCAGGGTTGTGCCGAGCTGCAGTGTAGTTACACATTCTGATTAACAAATGTTGGTTTTGTACAAGTGAAAATAAATGACTTAGAGCTGCATGTTTACACAACATTTTGATTTAATCTCATATGTATAACACCACAGTGCTCATGGGAGCCTGGACACAGAACTGTTTACATTATTAGGTCATATTTACAAAAAATACAGTGTACAGTAGCTAGTATTATTTTTAGGAGTCTGCCCAGTCCTGTCGAAGTCCTCAGGTCTGAAGTGACAGCTGCAGATGACTGAGGAGTCACTCGGGACAAAGTCCTTTCTCCTCACTGCTGCTACCCATGCCCGTCTCCTCTCTGTGTTTTTTGGGAAACTACACACAAAATAAGTGTGTCAGAAAAACGCAGTTCCACATAATTTGTAGTTACAATTCAGGCCACAAGTTAACTACTAATGTTATACTGCGTTATGTCACATTGGTGCCATGAAACAGATAGTTGACAATTTGGAATAACACATACACCGACATAGCTGTTTGACAAAGCATCATAATTTTATAAGTAATATTATATAAATGTTAACCTTTTTTCTTTAAGTTGTGTGACATAGCGTTAGCTTAATTTGGCATTAGGACCAGATCAGGACAGTTACTTTACTTGATTAGCTTAAAGAAGGATCACTTTTTGAGATATATATCTCATTAAACATGTACGTAACAGTAAAATATTGTAAAACAACTTCTTACCTGTGGAATGTTCCCTTCTGCTTGGTTTTAACACTTCTTTCGTTTGTACACCCAAATGCAGAGCAAAAATGTGGCATTTTTGCCGAGTCTGACACGGGTCGGAACCGGTCAGAGCACCAAGGCAAGATGGCGGCGGTATTGATGCATCCCACAAGCCAGGGTGCGGCATCTATGTGTATATATCTATGGTTACTGTAAGGTGTTTAGCTAACTAGGTATAGTATCATTGACGTTATGGCGGCCATCTTTCATACTTTGCTTGTGTGTCTGGACAGGTCGTGTAACGTTAGTTGTTGTTGAGGGGACAGTGCTGCACAGTGGGATGCAGCAGAGGATCCACCATATAATATTGTCACCATACAATATTATTACAATGTTAGAAATGTTACGATATGCTGAGTATTGCGATATTGTCATACATTACCTTTTATTAACTGTAAATTATGTCCCCAAAGAAAACTGTCAACATCTGTTTTATCTAATTGGATAAAGTTTTCAGTCTGTTCATCTCACTTTAGCCTTTTTGCAGCAGCAAAATGAATGTAGTGGACTGAAAAAGCAACTGATTATATTATTCCAGTATGCTACCTAATGTGTCATTTATTATTTGCCATATTAATGAATAGTAAAATAAATGATACTTGGCACTTAAAGGTGGGAATCTCCAGGCACCTCACGATTCAATTATGATTCAGAGGGTAACGATTTGATAATAAAACGATTATTGATGCATCACAGTGCATCAAAATATATGATTTCAGCACACTATTTATTTTTTTCTTTCTGTATTTTTGAGGATTTATAATTAAATTAACAGATTATTTTACTTGCAAGAGGGGAAAACCCAGAGTTGACTGAACTAGTTGATAACCAGCTCTGTAGTACTAGTCATCCAAATAGCAGTGTGATGGGTTAAAGCAGTTTCACATTACAAATCAGCATTTCTCTGGCTCTGTTTGGCATGTCGGAAACAGGCCGCTAGCCTAGCACATACTAATGTGTGCTCGCCTTGTTCTCTGATGACTGAAGATCCAGATGTTTGTGAGGTTTTTACAGAGCTCTCTTTTTTGCTGTGTCTGGTAAGCAGGAAGTCAACTGCAACAAGCAAGCTAACTCGCTGAACTAAAAGTATTTGTATTTAATTGTAGTTTATATTTGTAGTTCTAACTGTATTATATTACAGAGATATTGAGTACTGTATTATATTCATGTTGTTATAGATATCAATATTGCATAGAATACAAAATATGTCATACGAAAGAGTAAAAGTAAAGTATAAAAGATGCACAAGTGAAACAGTTTATACAGTATATGTTTTATTCTTTAAAGCTCCTCACATTAAGGTGGATATTCAAATCCAAGACTCCATGTTTGATGGCAGCATCATTATATCAGATAGAAATAAACAGCTTAAAGAACTGAAAGTATTGACTGAAGCAAAAAAAAATGCACAAAAAAAACCACACAACAGTCGGACACTAGCTGCATACACGGACATATATGTACTCATCATATGTTTGACTTCCTGTAAATCATATTAACTACAGAGACAATCCTGCTGAGTAAAACAAACACTGATCAGTATCAGAGCTGATATGTCACAGATGTCAGGGCTCGTTGAAGTCATGGAGACTGAAACAGGAGCAGAGTTTAAGCTTAAGTTTAAGTGTTTCAGGCCAAAAGACAGAAAAATCATGCAGTTTAATTTATAGGGTTTTGTATCAGTATTCAGACTTGTGCTGGTTTTTAATAACAAATGTGACTATTTCCACAGAGGTAACAGGGAAGGTTATACATTATTTAAAAAAGAAAATGTATTTTACAATTTAGCTTTCTTTTAGCTCTTAAATTGTAAGACATTATACTAGGTGAGAGGGAAACAGAATTTCGATTCTCTGTATGTCCTGCACATATAGCAATCGACAATAAAAACCTTTTGAACTTTGAACTTAAATTGAAGAGAAGCAGAGAGGATGTTATCGGGGTGTAATGGTTCTGAATCTGACACCAAAGCTGCGACATAAATGTTTGTGGTCTGCCCTCTCATGGTCCACACCCCATTGAACTGTGGGTTTGGAGAATTGTTACACAAATACGCACCCACAAAGTTGTGGAGGAGCATGAATTTATATGGTATGTGTTTCAAAAGAGCAGAAAGAGCAACGATGACATGAACAGGAAATTACAGCATTGCTGTTTTTATCAGCTTTAAATATCAGAAATGTTCCTGTGACCACTGTTGCCAACTCCTCAGTAAGAAAAGTAGCTATTGGCTGTCCTAAAAGTCGCTAGAACTCGCTAAATGACGTCATCGCCTAATTTGCATAATTGTCCATATGCATGTAATTGTAATGGATGCTGTAGGAGAGAGGAATAACATCGTGGGAGAGACAAAAACTGAGTAAAAAAACACCCTGAATATGTTTAGAACTACAAATGAACCTTTTTTCAGTGATTTATATTAGACAAAGAAAATTTTACATTTACATCCTGTCCTGACTGTAAACCAGGTCGGGATCAGAGCGATAGATCAGCCAGCGGCGGTTCCGCGCATGTGCGATTCACTTGCAGTCTGGACGTGGAGGGGTTAACGTCTCCTGCTCTGACTGCTGCTGGGAGGGAGGACTGGGCCGTCTGTGAGTGCTTTGGGGCGAGAGAGGAGCTCACGGCAGTATCTGCTGCCCGTTGAGAAGACTAAGAATGATATGTGCTCTCACAACAGAGTCTCCAGAAGTCTTCAATAACATCAGAAAAAGTCGCTAGATTTGTCACTAGTTGCTTTTTTGAAAAAGAGTCGCTAGAGGGGTCTGAAAAGTCGCTAAATATAGCGACAAAGTTGCTAAGTTGGCAACACTGCCTGTGACAGGAGGCAGGTTCCTGTTTGTGTGCAGCTTTACTCATAAGACATCTCATAAGACACCTTTTACAGTAGCCTGCTCTCATTAGACAAACTGCCCACTCAAACAGGAACATTTCTTTTCAGATAAAGAGGTGAAAGAGAAACAATCTGTTTTCCATCATCAGTTGTTTTTAATTCAGGAAGCGAAGAAAGGTAGGCCGAACACTCAGAGACCCTCCATAAAGACAGAATAACAGAAAATGGTGTTTATTTGATGTGAACGTCACTGATTCACCTGCGCCGTCAAGTCTTTCAGATCTCTGCTGCTGCTTTCCTGCAAACACATGTCCTGATAAAGACAGATGGGAAAAACAGAGTCACTAAGTAGAAAATAAGTTAGGATTTCACTCAGAAATGTAATCATTATAATAGCACAAAATCAGGTTACAAAGTGTTGCACAGAAAACTAATATAAAGATTAAGATAAAATACAATTTAATGATAGAACAGATGCAGTAGATCCATATATTAAATCAGTTCAAGGAAATGCAATTGCAAATTGTGGTTTTAGGAGCTTGAGTACAGCTGTGTCAGTGAAAAATTGTTGGGGCGGAGTCACATACCTGGGTTCACGTGTTTTTAGCATGTAACAAAAGCCTTTGTTTTCGACAGCGCTGTATGTACGCAGATCTTTGAACAGGAAGTAGGTGATGGACTGTGTTAGTTTTTTGGCTCTCTCACAGTTGGATGGTAGTTGTGTCGAGCTAGGTGTGTCAGTGTTGGTCGATGTTTCGGCGGAGCGGGTTTAGCGTTAGCTTGGCCGTCAGCAGCTAACACTACCTCTGGATGGTGGCGTGTGAGGTGAGCCCTCATGTTCATAGTATTCCCAGAGTATTTTATTCTCATATGACACTGCTGTAAATCACACGTGTCATATCCAAGTTCTCCTTTCTTTCTGTGTTAAAAAAAATCCAAAATAAGTCCAGACGTTTGATTTAAACACAGAAGGCACATTTCTGATTTCTGTCTCTGGTGCCTCCATCTTTGTTTTGATGAACTTCCTGCCAAATGCCGTTGACGGAGACCTCTCCTGACCTCACCAGGAAAAAAAACTTTAGCATCATTGATTTTATTGTTCTAGGATTAAAATGTGTATTAGCAAAAGTTAATAATGTATATTATAAAAGATCGATACTTGGCGTCCATGTATTGATACAATATCGCCATGCAAAATATCACAATACTATGCTGTATCGATCTGCTGTGTTAGCCCCTAACGTTTACTGTTGTCACTGGGATGATGGGACACCGCTAGTTTCAAGCTCTGCATTTTAGGCTGTGCAAAACTGATTTGACACAACAGAAAAACACGAGGCCCTGCCGTTAGTGTGTTTCATCTTCATTGCTGATAGGCCAGTGGCAGTCGACAAGGACAATATCTGCTGATAGCGATGTTTGATTGAAAAATTGTTGCATAGATAAAGGCACATGAAGGAGCAGACTGATGTGTATTTGGTTGTTGTAGGTGAAAGTTACCTTTTGATGATGATGGATGCCACGATGATGATGAGCACAGTGTGCAGAACAAAGAGAACCAGACGTATAGCCAGCATTGTGTCAACTGCAGCACTAGTTGTTCCTGCGAGACATGTCAGATGGACAGAGAGATGTTGGACTGTAGACATTAAGTATCAAGAAGATGGGGCGTCGGTGGCTTAGTGGTAGAGCAGGCGCCCCATGTACAAGGCTGTTGCCACAACGGCCCAGGTTCGACTCCAGCCTGTGGCCCTTTGCTGCATGTCATCCCCTCTCTCTCCCCCCCTTCACGCTTACCTGTCCTGTCCATTAAAGGCAAAATGGCCCAAAAAATATCTTAAAAAAAAAAAAAAAATCAAGAAGATCCACTCTGAGATACGTTCTCTGAACTCTGATGTTAAGTGTCAGTCATATATGATACTGAAAGCACCACAGCAGCCAGTTAACTGACCTGGGGCCTCATTTATAAAGCTTGCTTACGCACAAAACGGGGCTTGAAAGTGGCGTACTCCACTTACCACTCAAAGGTTGTGATTTATAAAAATAAACTTGGCGGGAGAATGTGCGCACCTGTAAGCAAACTCTGAGTCATGCGTGCGCACATTTTGGAGACACTGGGAAGTGGCGACGCAGACAGCGAGGTGGAGAAGTGGAGTCAGATTTTTATTGATGTCTCACACAAATTTAATGTCACGCTATATCCACCTTTGATCCACATTATCATTGAAATTAAATCCAGCAGCCTTATTTTGAGCTTGGAGTGAGAAATAATTGTATAAAAACGTTGTAAAATACAACTCAAATCCTGAATTGAAATTCTTTCTAAATACGTATTTAATCCGCACTGCCTCTAACGTCTCATTGTCCACTCTGTGAGCGCAGGAGGGGGAGAGGACGGTGCGACTGCATGGAATATATTTATTTATTTAGCTAAATATTTCCAGTGCATTTATCATGTCTCGAAATACAGCCATTAAGCACAACCGTTAGCCCTACTTAGACATGTGCTGTTCATGACAAAACCGGCATGAAGAAACGTGTTCGCCTATTACACTTTCATCTTTGAATTGTATTTCAAATTACACGTTGTATTTTGGGACAGGGATACCACTGGGTTATGCTGTAATTCAGGCCGGGTGTCTGATCAGACTAATTGCCATAAACATATAAATACTGTGGTGACCCTCGTGCGTAATTGCGCAAGATGGTACTGGCACATACTCCTTTTTGCCTCCACCTTTAATAAATGTGATTCTTTATGTCGCACATCAATGTCAAACATCCTCAAATTTAAAAGCAACACATTAACTACATGATAGTAAAGGAGTAGAAATATTTGGTCTACCTTTAGATCAGACCACTTTTTTTTTTTTTGTTCTGTCACTGTCCGTGCAGTCCCACAGACACAGCTGACAGCATCAGCAGCGTTGATGTGTTGCCACTTTTTTTGCTTTCTCTTATTAGTGATCCCGCTGCTGTGGCCACCAAATAAAGCCTTTCTTCAGTCCTCCACCTCCCATTAAAGGGTCTCTAGCTCACCCTCAGAGAAATTCCGTTTTTTGGTACGTTTCTTACACCTGTCACCATGACTCACAACGAGAGAACACTCGCATGCCGGCTTATTTATATGCAGATCGCATTCATGAGGTGATTTGCATGACCATTTATGGTTGAACTAGGGTGTGTAGAGGGCGGAATATGAGGCGGATCTGGGTGCGCACAACTCCAGGAGGTCTGTGATTTATAAAGAGAACATTGCGTGCAAGTGTGCGTGCGCACGGTTTTATAAATTTGATTATTTTTTGGCACACACCATTTTCAGCTTTTGGGCGCATGTCAACTTTTAGTATGAATCCTAAGCACTCTTTTATAAATGAGGCCCCTGGAGGTGAGACTGTTTTGTCAACTGTTGTTTCCAAAGTCAAGAATCATGTTAATTATACTAACACTGGGTATTTAATTATTAGCAAAATTGAATTTTAATTATTTGATTTTGACTGATGATTTATTAGTACAGAGTTGTGCAGTGGGAGGAGAAATGTTTTTATTTTATTTAATTTCTCATTGCCAGTGTTGGCGACTGACATGAAACTCTCTTGGGTCCTTTATTAAAAGCCAATTCTACAATAAATCTGTGGACATAAGCTGTGGACTGAGCCCTTGCCAACTTCAGTCATATATACTGTGACGAGTTCACTGTCATCATGTAAAGTCTGCGAGGGTAGAGACCGTAAGCCTCTGATAGACAGCCCTTGAGACTGTTTAACTCATTGCCATGGAAATGTTTGAGCTAAGATTACAATCATTGTAAATGCTGTCATGTTCTGTCTGTTCATCTGCCCTGCAGAAAAAAAAAGAAGAAAAAAAAAACCCCCTACTAAGTCAAATCTGTATTGCAATGCATTGTGGGCAGTCAAATCAGTAATGTCTGCTTAAGTCTGCAGGAGGTCAGCTTTAGGCCCCTTGTGGACTGGTTGAATTGTGGATTTGGAGCCCTCTTCACTCACAGACTTCGCGCCCGCAAAGTCTGTGAATCTGCAAGTGGGGTGAAGTCCGGACAATTGGATTCAGCCATAAAAACTGAAAGACAGACGTCAACTACGACTCCCAGGCTGCATTTCACTAACAAACCTCCAATCATAGAGCTCCATATTCTGTTTTGTGTGCTGCCATCTAAAATATTTACATTCAGATTCTTGGTCAGTTTTGTATGAGCTAAGTAACAACCAGTGTGAACTCTGACCACTACCAGCAGCAAAGGCTTATGTGTTTTGTAGTCTGTCGCCAAACTGACAGGAAAAAACCCTGACTTGTCAGGAACTGTGTGAATAACTCAAACTGGTGGTCAGAACATAAACCTGTATGATAGTTACATTATTCAGGAGAGTTCTCTCACATTAAGGAGCTGTACATGGTGTTTATTAGATTTCCACCACAGAGAAAACGATGAAACAAACCTTCAGCCTCCACATTCAGGCTGTACGGCTGGGAGAGTGTGAAGCTGTTGTTCCTCAGACAACAGGTGTAGTTCCCAGAATCCTTTGCAGTCAGAGGGTCAAGCTTGAGGGCGGGGCCAGTCTCTGGGAGGGCGGAGCCATCTCTGAACCAGGTGACCTCCAGCTGGTGGAAAGTGCACTCTGCTGTGCAGCGCAGTGTGACTGATTCACCCTCTCTCATCTCTGTCTCAGTCGAGGAGCTCTTTATCTTCATTTCAGAATCTAAAGTAATGTAAGGCAAAAACATGTTGATTATCAATATGACAGAAACACGTAACACGTGTTGATTATCGTAATATATCATGCTTGGGTGGGGATGAAAAGTAAACAGGATGGTACTGTCCTGCTGCCGTCTTGATAAAGCGCTCTGGGATGCTTTCACTTCAAGTGTTCATACATAGCAGTTGCTTTGCCGTGTAGGGGTGGGTATCCTTAAGATTTTATATATAATATGACGATTCATTTGGCAGATACTGATATCAAAATATCCATTTTCCCCCCACCTAATGTTAGTGATCATCAAGTCTCTTCTGTAGTGGAATTAACATCATATTATACTAGTATTGTCACGATACCAAAATCTGTGTTTCGGTACCGATACCAATATGAATTTCGATACTTTTCAGTACTTCTCCTAAGGAAAGTCCTTTTGGATACAAACCTTTAGAACAATAAATAGTAGGGGTGTAACAGTACCAAAAAAATCATGGTTCGGTAAGTGCCTCGGTACGGACGCCACGGTTTGGTAACTCAAATGTTCCACCAAGTTGGTGTTGTCTCGTGTTGTCTCCCTTTGCGAGGCAGACTTTCTCTTGTCTTTTTTCACTTGCGCCAGCTGCGAATGTTGATACAGGTGTTGTCATACACACCACTTGTGCAATATGTGCTTGAACAGGAACAAGGAAGGCGTTTGTGTGCATAAATGAATTAAATAAATGAATGAATTGAATCAATTTAAAAAGTACCGGTATTTTCCAAATGCAGTATAGTACCGTTTGGAATACTCTAGTACCGCGGTACTATTTTAGTACCGGTATACCGTGCAACACTATATTATACATACATACTCTAATCATGACGGCCCACCAGCTGATGGAGACATGAAACACTGTTCAGTGTCTGTGATATTCAGTCATTGTGCAAATTAAGAAAAAGCATGTTGGTTGATTCTGATAGTTCATTTTAAAGCTGATATTGGACTAGGGCTGTATCAGTGCATCTCTAGTTTTTTTGTTGTTGTTTTTTTTATTGCTTTTAGTTAAATGTTGTAGTTTTCATAGTTTCCTCTTTTCTTTGTTTTATTTTTACTGTAAATGAATTTTAACTTCATCAGTTCAAAGGAACTGGTCCCCAGGCTCAGCTGTGAATGTGGGTGGGGAAGGTGTAACTGAACAGGGTGTTTCTGCAAAAGAGAGGCTGGCTCTCAGTGCTGAATGAAGGTTAGAGAAATTAATTATTTTTAATAATGCCATTGTTATCATTGATAGCATTTTCATATGATACTCTTACCACTGACTGTGACTTTCACTCCTGGTGGTCCAGTAAAAGTTGCTTTGGCATGATTAGTTTCCACCCTGAAGCGAAAAGTTGCGTTGTCCTCCTCCTGTAAATTGGTGATCTGTAAAGTGCAGTTTCCCTTCTTGTCACCCAGGTATCTGTAACGAGGGTCGTTGTTGTCTGATTCGCTGTCGTACACAGACGGAGTGCTGCCATGACAAACCGCATGGTTTGGGCACCAGACTACTCTGTTGATCTTTATCAGAACTTCTTTTCCATTTTCAGTGACAGGCTCCAGTGTTTTAAAGGTGCAGGGGAGCGTGACAGTCGATCCTTTCATGGCACAAACAGGATGTGGATAGTTCACACTCTGACCCACAGCACCTGGAAAAACACAACACAGTGATGACAGCTGAGTTTCAGAGTTAAGGACCTTGATTTAGAGGGAGAGCTTTGATGTGGAAACCAATTAAAATGAGCCTTCAGTACTAAAATAGAAAACTAAATAATAAAAGAACTGTATCAGAGCTTCAATTCTAAAATCAGAGATGTTTCTGGATTTTATCAATTCAATGTGAAAAACTGAAACTGTGACTAAAAACATCATTAAAGATATTAACATAATATACAGTAACATAAAGTCCAAGTCTTACCAGCCAGCAGCAACATGAAGCCCCAGATAATCTTTTTGTCCCAAACTGCCATCCTCACTTTTTTATTCAGTTGATTTAACTTTTTTCGTGTTAAAATGTCCGATCGGTCCACAGCAGTGGTGAGAAACACACTGACACACTGTGAAACTGAGATGGCGCATGAAACACCTGTGGTTACAATCCCACTTCCTCCTTTCTTTTCAAAGAAGTATTAGCCTGCTATAAATATGTTTATAATTTGTCATGTGTCTTATCCACTTCCTGTCACGTTCAGAAACTGTCTGTGATGTAAACACCGACTCAAAGGTAGTGGAGAGCTCCCACAGCGGAGGTGACCATATCAGGAGGAAAGGAGTTTCACCCATGAAGATAAACAGAGGAACAGATGTGATTTAAAGCCATTTGTTTTCCATCTGTTTTTAGTCCTCATGTTAGCTGCACCGCTCTCTGTCAGCCTGTCGGTCTGTTCACTGCTGACTGAAACATCACTATTGTTGGATGGATTGTGATGAACTGTGGTTCATCATTCATGTTCCCATCAGGATAAACTAATAATTTTGGTGATCCTCTGACTTTTCATCTAGCATCATCATCAGGTCAACATTTTCATGAGTCCAATACCTGAAGAATAATGACATTCCCAACAGCCCAACTGGACTCTGTGTTCACAGCTTATGAGCCACAACTTAGATGGTGAACATGATCAGCATGTTAGTGTTGTCATTGTGAGCATGTTGGCATGCTGAACAGTCTGTGTGTGTGTGTGTGTGTGTGTCTGTCTGTCTGTCTGTCTGTGTCTGTGTACTTGTATGTCTATCATTAAGAGAACAATGTGTGTTTAGGACCTTGGCAGTGAGGACTATTTTGGAAAATGAGGACATTATGGATCTGGGGCTGTATTCACAAACATCCTGGGACCACTCAGAGAGCTCCTAACTTAGCCTAGAAACTTTCAGTCAGGAGTCTGAGCTTAAAAGTAATTTAGGAAAGTTCTCAGAGCAACTCTGAGCAAGGACGGGACCGAAACTTTCACCTTAAGCAAAAAACAGACTGAGATTTTATCAATCCTTTAAGTTTAGTGCAGCTACACTGTGTGACATGGATCTAATTAATTTGGGTACAACATCAGGTTTGATGTCTGCAGACTGTACGATGACAGCGCCGACTGAATCACAGGCTACGACATACGATGCAACAGCTTCACATACTGAGTGATGCTGCAGGGTTATTACTTCAACTGTGAAGCACAACATAGAGGGTCACATTAATAACATTATTGTTATCATTAATAAAGTTAATAAAATGTCCAAAATAACATTAAAATGGCCGAAGATAACCTTGAAGGGATAGTGCACCCAAAAATGAAAATTCAGCCATTATCTACTCAGCCATATGCCGAGGGAGGCTCAGGTGAAGTTTTAGAGTCCTCACATCACTTGCAGAGATCCAAGGGGAGAGGAGGTAGCAACACAACTCCACCTAATGGAGGCTGACGGCGCCCCAGATTCAAACGTCCAAAAACACATAATTGAAACCACAAAATATCTCCATACTGCTCGTCCGTAGTGATCCAAGTGTCCTGAAGCCCCGACATAAAAAGCTGGGGCGCCGTCAGCCTCCATTAGGTGGAGTTGTGTTGCTACCTCCTCTCCCCTTGGATCTCTGTGTGTGAGGACTCTAAAACTTAGATAATGGCTGAAATTTCATTTTTGGGTGCACTATAACTTTAAGTTTTGTGCGCACTATATACTGCGGTGTGTGTGTGTGTGTGTGTGTGTGTGTGTGTGTGTGTGTGTGTGTTTGCTAGCTGCTAGGTGTCTCACCACCTCATGATCGGAGGATCGTGACAACGGCCATCCCTCAACCTCTCTGACTGTGCGACGTTGGACCACCATTTTAGAGCCACGACCAAAGATATCGCTGTGTTTCTCTCACATTGGTCATCTTCCGTCTGGCTTCAGGCTTTAGTTAAGTAGTGTGGTTGAACAGTTGCTAGCTATGATGCATTCTTTTAACAGATGTGATTGGTTGGCAGAGACACGCCCTTTTGTGAGCCTGTAAGGTGTGAGGACACCCAGTGGAAATGAACTGAACTGCATCACAATGAGACTGAAAGTGTTGTCAGTGTTAATGTGATCACTCTGCTGATGGAAGGTTGAGACAGACTCAAGTCATCACTGCTGCACAGTTGCATTTTTTCAGTTTTCCAAATATCTCAGTGTTGTGATCATTTTATTTCTGGCATAAATGTGTGTGTATCCCAGATGACATCCACCACACATATTATTCTTGCACGATCTAATCTGTAGCATTTCATTAACTTTTATCTTTACCAGGACCTAGTCTTAACTTTAAGGGGAAATTCTAAAACAACGTCAAAATTCTAAGAATTTTCTGAGAACGTCGTCACTAAGTGTGACGCTTTGTACGTGAAGCTTTGTGAATATGGCCCCAGAGCTTTAGGTCAGGGTTAGGGATTTAGTTGTGATGCTTAAGGTAAGGGTTAGGATCTAAAGAATGCATTATGTCAGTGTGTTGGTCCTCACCCTACAGCTGTAATGATTAGTTGACTATTTAATTGACAGATGATTAATTGACAACTATTTTGATAACTGAATAATCATTTCAGTTTTTTTTCACCTTTTGCTGTGAGAATTTACATGATGATAATAAGCTGAATATCTTATATTGTTTTTTGGACAATTGGTTGGATAAAAAATATAATTTAAAGACGTCCCCTCAGGCTTCGATAAAATTACACACAGGCATGTTTCAGTCTTTTCTGACATTTTATTGACAAATCAGTTATTTGAAAAAATAATGGTCAGAGTAATTGATAGTGAAAATAATCGTAATAATAGTTGCAGCCTTACTCACAAGTACAGCAGCACATTTGAGCTGTAAACAGTTAGTGTAACAGTGTAAACAGTTTTTTCCTCTTTTTTTAATAACTGCTCGTGTTTGTGAGTGAATTGATGTGTGTGTGTTGAACTCTCCAAAATATGAACCTTTCTGTGATATGGGTGGAAATATATAAATGTGCTGTCAGTGTGAACATCTGATCATCAGGTGAGAGCGCTTCAGTGTGCTGGATTAGTAACAGACGTCACACTGAACACTGACCACCACTCACCTGTGTTTCAGAGATCCTCTCGTCCAATCAGAGGGCTTCATGGCCCGCTGGCCGCCTCTTGAGTGGTGGTTGAGAACTCACGGTTCCACTGAGATGGAAAGACAAGGAGGAGGAAGAGGAGGAAGGAGGGATGAAGGTGTGTTGTTCTGGTGGTCCTCCTCACGGTGACTCAGCAGGTCTGCAGGTTTATAAAGACGCCGCGATGCTCAGTCTGTCACCACGGAGACAATGGCCTGGTTGCTCCGCATCGCCTGCATCCTGGTCTGCTGCCTGGAGCTGCTGCAGGGCAAAGCTTCAGGTGAACTCCCCTGGGACTGTGACCGCCTGTCTGTCTGCCTGTCTGTCTGTCCCTCTGTCTTCGTCGAAGCTGTTTGATTTTGTCTCTATGTGTCATATAAATCAGTGAATGAAACTTGTGTGTCCACTTTGAACTGTGCTGATTGTAAAGATCTTCTGTGTGTGAAGCATCCATGTTTTAGAATTTGTAGCTTCTTTGCAGCAGCATCCATAATTGAATCTTTGACAACTTTCATGACTTCATACAAGTCTGGACAGACATGATGTAAACTGTAAGTGCAGCTTGACTTTGTGGAGTTTCACAACACACGTTGGTAATTCTAGTCAGCTGTATGTCTGTTTTTATCTTCCAGTAATTTCTTCTGTATGTACAGTAAGAACAAATTGAAAGTGTGTGTGTGTGTGTGTGTTCATTCACATACTTTGCCAATAAAGCTAATTTTTGACTCTTATTGAAAGTCAGCTCTGGATCAGAGGTGGTGTAGCAGAATATGTGCAGCAGCTGAGAGCGTGAGGGGATTTAGAAACAAGTGTGAGGAAACAACACGCGTCTTTGCCTTCCTTTTTCCTCATGCTTCTGTGTAAGTGTTTCCTCAACAGTGAAGTAATTCTGACACAAGACAGCTGAGAGTTGGAATTTTCTGACAGAGCAGTAAGAAACAACCCACAGGGTTTACCTTGTTTATTTATTTGTGTCATTTACAGTCTAATGAATTCGTAATGAATTTTTTAGGTGATACTTTTATTTTCAGTTCATGCGACATCAGCAGCTAAGAAGCTGAGGTCGGCATGTTTGTGACGATGTGTGATGACCACGGTTTGCTCATTAATGTCTGTAAAACTGAAGACATGATGTTTTATCCCAGAAGCTGTGTTTGTACACGCGACCATGACATCAGACAGGTCACTTCTTTATAGACACAGGGACGTAGACAGTGGTGTCACCTGTCACACAGTATACACTGTGTTTTATATGTTGGTCAAGTTACAAATCAGTGTTACATCACAGCTGGTTTGGAAACGAGCCTGAGATGATGATTTGTGTTATTGGTTGGTGGAAGGAGGGTTTGTTTCCTTATAAATTGTTATGGTGTGCTGTTGGTGATGATTTGTTTTTTGTTTTTGGAATTCTTGTTTCTTGTGAGTAGTTTGTTTTCAAGATGTTTTTTATTGTTTATTTACTAGGGATGCACGATAATGGATATTTTGATGATATATAACAACTCATTTGGCCGATATTCAGTATATCCATATATGATAGAAGATTATGCAACTTTCTTCCCCGAATCCTGTGACTAACCTCTTTATCTGTATGTTTGAACCCCAGTTTTATTTTTATATGTATTTTCATTCATGCAGGCCTACTTATGTAACACCTGGTTTGAGACCATGTATTTGTGTTTGCATTGTGTCGTACGATAATTTCATTGTCTAAATAATATGCATTTATAAATAATGTTTCCTTTAGGAGCCCTCAGGAAAATAATTCACAGCCTTTTGTTTTACTTTGTGGGGATTTTGTAAAACAGAGTTAACTTGGTAGAATTCAGGTTCACTGGCTGGTAATTTGCTTGTTACGCTGTCAGACTATCACTATCAGCATGGAGCAGAACAGCCAACAGTTAGTAGGAAAACCGAGTGGAGCCTGTGCTGTTGCAGCTGAGCGTGCGCCATGTC